CTGCCACAGACAGAAGGGTATAGTTTCTCCAAGAAGCAGAAATTATACTTACCTGTTGGACACTGCTATAAACCTGTAAAGGATCTCTGTAGCCATGTCATTATTATAGTACTGCTATTAAGAAGGCCACAGTACTGTAACAACACCTTAAAAAAAGCTGCACCTTTATGTTTAATGCTATTATTACTCTCATTATTTTGTGGTGACTATAAGATCTGTTTACCAACTCCATAAAATGAAAGAAAAAAAGATATATAAACCAAAGAAAACAAAAGAAGTCTTATAAATGTCAAGCCTAAAAGAATTAAATATAAAAAGGTTAATTATAAAGAAGATACTTACCTAATTGCAAGAAATTAGAAGAAAGCTGTTGAGAGACTTAAAAATAAAAAGTATAGTAGAAATGAAACTTAATTTCAACATAAAAAAAGAAATAAATAAAAATTTTGTTAGAAAGAATATTTAAGAAAAAAGACAAAAGAAAGAAGCAAAACTAAAGAATACTGTATCTGAACAAATAGTAGAAACTACAAAAAGTGTTGTTTAGATAATATCTTTAATAGTCATATTGATAACCTACATATTACAGTAAATAGACAATTAACTAATTAATTAATTACAAATAATTACATCATAATTAACTTACAATATATAAAAATGCAGTTACTTAAATTAACTATATAAAAGCAAATTTTATTCTATATATTTTTTTTTTAAGATCAGTACTTTAACAAAAGCTAGTTCTGTATAGTGCTATTAAGTTTTTATAATTATATATTAGCCTTTGGTCAAAATGATAGAAATTAGTAATTCTTCAAGTAGTCAGCTGTTAGTTAGATCTTTAGTTAATAGGGTTAAAAAAAGAGTGTTAAATGAAACAAATACCAATAAGGTTAAGAGACAAACTATTGAAACTGAAAAGGTTAAGTGAATAACATTAACAAAAGCCCAAAAAGCTGAACTTTGTCATATGCATAAAAGTGGATATACTCAGCTTTCACTTGCAAATTATTTCAAAATTGGTGAATCAACAGTTTCAAAAATACTTAAACAAGATCAGTAGCTTTCAATTGATCCAAATTTAACACAAGCAAAGTCTAAATGAGATCGCATAGCTAAATACCCTCAGCTTGAAGAAAATTTAAGTTTATAGATTTCAAAAGCTGAAGCTTATCACCAAACAATTACAGAAGCAATTATTCAACGTAAAGCTTTTCAGTTTATTAAAAGCTTACAAATTAGTAATTTTGGAGGATCTGAAATGTGGCTTGTGAACTTTAAAAAAAGGTTTCATATTAAAGAGTATACAAGACAAGAAGAAGCAGCAAGTATTCCATTAAATGAACATCTACAATACTGTGATGAACTTAAAGATATTATTAAAAACTATGATCCACGTTGTTGACATTAGAAAAGAAGCTATTTGAAGTATAGCTTTACAAACATCAATCCAATCAAGATGAAACTACTACTATTAGAATAAGCTTATCAATACAAATCTAAAAGTGGTGAGATTATCCAAATCTGATTACAGAGAGCTGTGATATCATCGAAAATGTGATTTGACTATGTGATTTATTTGTAGATCACATATGTCACAATCTGATTGGCTGATGATTTACTGTGCGAAATGTTCTACATATAGTATATCTATTATATATCATATTTGTAGCATCTATATTATTTATTTTACATATCATATATATATTATTTGTGTTATATGTAATATCTGTATTATATATATTATATATCTTATTAGTATTATTTGTAATATTTGTAGCATACGTACTAGATATAGACCATTACATTTCTAAAAAATTGAAAAGTATAAAAGCAGCAAATATAGACTACTAGACTAGTCATGGTGCAAAAATGTCGAGATCACGTGATCGTCGATCATTTCCGGCCCACTGGGTTAAGACCGATTATTAAAGTTTCACAATTATCGATTGCATAACTCATGTAACTTTTCGCAGAGATGTTTTTTCAACTTATATACCTTTTAGCTTTGCATTTTG